TCTCTCATAAGAAAATTGTAACATAACAAGACCATTGCCACCCTTTTTAGAAACAGTACCAACAAAAACCTTATTTACTATACTTTTTGTGTACCCCCAATCTCAATGATCTGTATCCGCCTATGATTTTTGAAAATGCATATTTTTAGGATCCATGTGAATTCCTGGTTCATTCTCTATCGATCGGCAAAAGCTGCGTTAAGATTGGTTCAGAAACCTGGCCGTGATAAACAGTCTAAAATGTATCTGCAATTTGCCCGTTTTTACCCCCCTCTACCCCCCCTATTGACATTTTTTTTTTTTTTAAGAAATGTAGATCTCGTTGAGCCAAATCGAATGCCGTTTGAATTTTGAAAATCGGCCGGTTACATCTCGAGATATCAAGGGGGGGTCGTAAACAGCCCCCCCCCCTGCCACTAATATGGGGTAGCCAGGAGCCTGCCACTAATAGGGTTAAATAGCCAAATGTGGACGTGGGGCCCAAAGAAGCCAGTGCGTAGCCCTTTAGACCAGCGTGGGGCAATATAAGGGCAGCGTGGGTTCCTCTAAGACCAGCGGCGTGGGGTCTTCTAAGGCCAGATTGGGGCCCACTGGGAACAGCTCAGCTTGGGGCTATCTAAGGACAATGTAGGCCCTCTTAGGTTAACGTGGGGCCCTCTGTCCTCTGAAGTCTAAGGTTGGCGCTGGGCCCTCAGAGGCTGGCTTTGGGCCATCAGAGGCCACCTAGAGGGCCTCGACGGTCAGACTGTAGCCCTTATGCATGTTTAACCCACGAGCCGCTGGGGGGGACATAGAGTTGCCCCCCTTTACGTTTTGCGGCATATCTCCGAAACCTGATAAGCTACGAACGTGAAACTCAAAGTAGCTTCAAATGAATACCAAGGCAATGTTTGAGCAAAATTTGGTGGTTGTAGCACTTAAGATGACGTCACAGTGACGTCATAAAATATTGTCGTTTTCCTATACGGACCGTTTCTGATGTCGCTGAGCATGAAACTCAACTGTAAATGAACTAGACAGCACCTGCTGTCATCCTGAAACACCTAAATACACTTCCATCTAGGTCCTGACCAATAATCGGCCCTTTATATACGGTCCCCTATATCTGATATATCGTGAGGAAACTGGAGAGTCGCAAATCTATAATTTCACTTATGACGTCACTGTGACGTCATTTCAGATGAAATCGACATTAAATTTGGACACAACCTCGGCTATGTATTCACTATTCAGGAAGATATGTGCAAAGTTTCGCTTCTCTATCTCTTCGCGTTGCGACGATATCGTCGCAGAAGTAAAGGGGGGTAACTATATGCCCCCCAGCGGACGGCGGGTGGCGCGGAGGCCCAGCGGCCGCCGGGTACTTTAAACAAGGATTACACATCACTTTCATGTTGTGGTCCTCAGTGACCTGACCTCTGTTACCTGACCTGGCATCAGTGTCCTCAAATAGCAAAATATGTGTTTCACGCGCAATTCTTGCGCCCATTCGGGGCGCGGGATTGCAAAAAAAAAACTGATCTTTTTGTTTTGCAAAACTAAAATGCAAACCAAAAAGATCAGTTTTTTATTTTGTTTTGCATTTTAGGGGATTATTTCAAAAGTCACTTTTTTAACCCTCGCCCCGTTGGGGAGGCAATTTGGCCCCTCCCTGTGGTTTTTCCTGAATAGCAAGAAAACGGCGGCGCGCAGCGCCGCCAAATTGTCAGTACCTTCCAGGGCATCAATTTGACACCTTCACACCAAATTTCAAGTCTTAGGTCACCTTAGGTAAGGAGTTATTGAGGTCAAACTAAGGTCGTGTTCGAGCAAAAATGAGCAAAAAACATGCAATCTTGAAACGCTCACCAAATCTACAGTTCCAAAGCAATTTCAAACTTCTTTATATGGTCTAGTCGACAAAAAACGGTGCTACAAAACTGATATCTGGGATTTTTAAAATTTTGGGTTTTTGACCCTAAAAATTCAAAAAAAATGATTTGTTTCCAAAACTAAAAAAAATCCAAAAATTTTCCGAATTTCGAAAAACGGGATAAATGTGATAGTCCCTGCGCTCTTCTATATACATACCAAATTTCAGATCAATATCTCGTTTTTTGGCCAAGATATAGCGAAAAACTGTTCAAAAATGATGACGTCAAATTTTTTAACTCAATTTTTAGCGATTCTAGACCACGTAGGGCAAAACAAAGACCACCATTGAACTCCCCGTGACGAGCTGCATCTAATCGATACCCATTTTATGCAAAAATACCTACTTTGAAATTTGGCCTAATTTGACCTGACCTTGACCTGACCTTGACCTGACCTTGACCAAAACGTGACCTAGGCTGGCCCTAAAGTCTGTGTGATCCACATAATCGCATTTGTCATGTAAAATGGACCATACAACATGTATAACACGACACTTTCATATTGTGACCCGCCAGTCACCTGACCTCTGTGACCTGACCTGGTATCAGTGACCTCAAATAGCAAAATATGTGTTTGAAGAACATTTCCCCATCGATGATTTTCAATGAAATGCATTTTACTCGATTTTACAACGCATTTCTTGAAATGCCTGTAAACGGTGAAAATTCGACCTTTGACCTGACCTGTGACATCATCGGTTTGACCTAGGTCAACAAAATTGGGTCATAAGGTAGTTCCCTGATAGGGCTATCCAACACCGGTTGCCGCTTGTCGCTAGGTTGCGTGGTTCTCGAGATCTTAGGGGGGCAAATTGCCCCCCCCCCCCAACGGGGTGCGTTGCTCGGCAGAGCCCAACGGGGCGCGGGTTAATTTGGGGCTCAAAATCAAAGCAAATTTATAACAAACAAGATAGCAGTTTTGTAGCGCTGCTCGTTTTATATCTTTTTGTTTTTCAACATTTTCCTTTATCTTTAAAACTTTGGGCTTGACAGCTCCTCCCATCAAACCTCTTTTGGGTCGGAAATGCCTGAACATGACGTCACTCTGACGTCATTTGCGGCCAACCTATCATAGACTGTGGAAGAAAAGGTAACGAGGTGTAAAACCGATTTACAAGAGGGTTCTGAAATTTTCGCGGCGATCGGCGCATTAATTTGGGAGATAGTGCGAAACGACTGGAACGGGGGGGGGGGCATAAAACACCCCCCAACCAGGGCGCGGGTTAAAAGAATTCCACTGGGTCCTCTAAAGTAAAGGTAACCTCAGGATTGTGGATACGCCGCTGGATGTTCTCTACGATATTAGACTAAGAGCAGTGTAAACACGGGCGACAAAATATGAAAAGGAATTAGGATCGATTGACTTTCACATCGGGTTTGACAGCTTGGAGAATATTTGAAGTGCCTTATATTTACTCCTACGGGGTGGGCAAAATCTCGTCACTGTTCGGGCAACTGGCAGCCACTGCGGGACATTTGCCCCCTCCCCAGTAGCGCGGGACACCTTTAATTAAGGTGAGGGGTGGGGGGGGGGTGCATTGCCGACTTTTGGTCCCATTCTGTCCATGCAACGCCCATAAGGCTTATGTTAAAATGCCGAAATCAAGTTGGCACGGTTCCCCGGTGCTCCCCTCCCCCTCCCCGTTCCGCCACCTATGCCCTCTTCCCCGTTAACCCGCGACCTGGTGGGGGGCTATTTTTTGCCCCCCCCCCTCCAGACTTTTCGATATATCTCCAGAACCGCTGCGCCGATCGTCACCAAACGTTCAGTACCCTCCCGGACATCAATTTTACACATTGTGACCAAATTTTTTTTTCCAAAAGCTATGATAGGTTGGCCGGAAATGACGTCAGAGTGACGTCATGTTCTGCCGTTTTCGACCCAAAAAAGGGTTTCGCAGGAAGAGCTGTCAGGCCTATAGCTTTGCAAATACAGAAAAATGACACGGACATAAAAGCTGTAGAATTGACGGGGCTACAAAACTGCAATCTCGGATTTTTGAAATTTTAGGATTTTGACCCCCAAAAATCAAAAAAATAGATTTTTTTGGATAAAATAGTCGAAAAATCCAAAAAGTTTTTTGAATTTCGCAAAAACCGGAATATATGTAATAGTCCTTACCGCCTTCCATCCACATACCAAATTTTAGATTGATACCTCTTTTTTTTGGCAAAGGTATAGCGAAAAAACTGTTCAAAATTTATGACGTCAAATTTTCAAACTCAATTTTTAGCAATTATATACCCCGTAGCGCAAAACAAAGACCACCATTAGACTCCCCGTGACGAGCTGCAGCGAATCAATACCCATTTTATGCAAAAATATCAACTTTGAAATTTAACCTTTTTTGACCTGACCTTGACCTGACCTCCACCAGAGAGTGACCTAAACCGTACCTGATGGTCTTATAACCAACACCATTGAGTTGGAAATCAAAAACTGGCCATAAAACATGCATCACACAACCTTAGTAAAGTTGGGTTCATGTGACCTGACCTGTGACCCTTGGTGACCTGACCTGTGACCTGACCTGGTATTGTCAGTGACCTCTAATAGCAACATATCTACTTGGCAACTGACGCCCTATCGCTGATTCTCGACAAAATGCGTTTTCCTCGGTGTTATAGCGCATTCCCTAGTAGACCCGTGAACGGTGAAACATTTTATCTTTGACCTGACCTGTGACGTCATCGGTGACCCCGAGGTCAATGAAATTTGGTTTCCTTCGACAAATTTGACAGGCCTTTCGAACGCCGTTTGAATTTTGCGGATCCGTCCAGTAGTTTCGGAGATACGAGGGGGGGGGGGCAAAAAATAGCCCCCCCCCCACCAGGTCGCGTTATAAACAGACCCCACCAGAGCGCGGGTTAATTCATATAAGCACAGACATCCAAACACTCAGACGGGTACCTAGCACACAGAGAAAACACACAAAGACTCACAGAATCACATACACACCGTTACACAAACTCATATTGATATAGTCTGACTATAGACACAGACGCACAAAACACACTCAACAACAGACACAGGGACACACAGACCCCCCCCCCCCCCCCACACACACACAGGTCGGTCCGGCTCACCTGATATTCGCCGCCTCCGCCGTGGTCGGCTCCGGTGGACAGAGCTCAGTACCGTCCACACACTGTTGGACCACCCACTATGTCGACTGACCCGGCCGGTGGACGCAGCGCAGCTCGTGCCCCTCCGTCGGCCTTTGTCCCGGTCTGGACCGCTGCAACTGCGCAGTATGTAATAACCCCGGGGCGGGGCGCCGCTGAGTCATGGTACCGGTTAGCGCCGACCTCGGGCCGCTGGGCGACTGCAGCGCCCCTACCGGTCACCGGCGTCGTACTGTAACTAATGGGGAGCCGGGGCGTTCATGGAACACTTGAGATGTAAGTGCACTGTTGCCTCGTAAAGGCTAGTCAGCAACAACAACAAAATAAAATGGGAACTCTCTACATTCGTCAAGGACTTGGATGTCCGGGTTCCAATGGGCCTTGTCCCGTAGCGAGGAGACTCTAGCGTCTAGCGTGTCCAGTGAGTCGGCGGCGCGGCGTCCCGGCCTGATGACGTCAGTGGGGGGTCACCAGGGTTACAGGGACAACACGGGCCGCCGGTCGATGTGCAGTCCCCCCACCCCTTCCCTCCCCTTCCCTTCCCTTCCCCAGTACCCGGGACAACTCTGCAACTCGGCAAAACAAAACATAGTGACGACTGACGAGCAGGCATGAACGGTTGAAAAAACAAAACCGATGATAGGCGTAAATGGGTAATGGTGAGCGGTGGCACAAAAGGACCGCTCGATTTGCATAGGCCGCGAACAAAGGGTCGCCGCCGCCGCCGCCGCCGCCGCGGAGTCGCGGTGTCGCGGCCTGCAGCCGGCAGCGGCCCCTCCCCGTCGGAGCAGCGGAGGAGGGTGCGTGCCGCGGGGAGGGGAGCCGGCGGCGGGGGAGGGCGCCGGCACCTGCCGACCACCTGGTGCCCCGCGGCGCCCCGGCGCCCTCCAGCCAGGCGTGACCGCGCCGCCGGCGCCCTCCCCGCCCTTGACCCGACATAGACCCACCGCCGCCGCTGCGCCGCGACCGCCGCCAGCGCGAGCCGACGGTGACCATTGTGACGCACACCGGGCGGGGCGTGCGCCGCGCTCGCCCCCAGTGCGCCGCATTCGTCCTCAGCCGTCCGTGAAATCCCACTTGGCGCATTGTGCGAGCGGGAGACGCGTGCGGCGCCGGTGAGAACAGGTGGAAAGGTTTCCCGGCGCGGCGGTTGGGTCACAGCGCGCCGGTCAGCGGGCGGCCGCGGGCCGGGACGACAACCGAGGTCCTTCGGCGGCCCGCCGACAACGTTGACAAATCGTGTTTTGTATTTTACACTCGCACAAGGTCACACGGGTCGCCTGTGCGACACTGTGCGAAACTTGCTCTCAACGAGAATAAAGTGAGTCGGTGACAAACAAAAATCGGCACGGAGCACCGTACCGGAACTAATGGCCATTTAGCACGGTATGTCAGTTGACCCGCGGACCAGGTAAAAGGCACAGTGGGTGGCGACATTCATTCTTCCACTGGTCGTTTGCCGCTAGCACTGTCAGGGAGCCGACCAAGGTAACTACGGCCCCCTCTCGATAAACTGCAGGAATTGAGCTGAGCTGCTCACACCTCGGTACATACCGAGAGACAATGGCGCCGCGTCTTCCGTGGGTGAAAACCGACAATTTTCTGGCTTTGAAAATTGCAGCCTGCATTTGAAAAAAAAAAATGCATTTGCATTTGAGCCTGCAGTGAAGTATGCAAAAGTCAAATAAATATGTGACGCCTCAATCAAAAATGAATTTATCGGTGCTTTTGATAAAGCTATTTTAGATTTACACCGAAAGAGTAGTACCTTGCTTGAAATAATCGTGCTTCTACCTCATGCTGCTTGTCACGGAAAATTTATTTTCTACCGTGGATCTGGTAAAGCACTAATAGCTCTGTCCACCACCAACGGTAAGCCACCAAGGCTTGTGGTAGGTTATCATCACTGTAAGACATCATGGACTGCCACCAATCAGGGTGGTCACATTGATCTGTAAAGAGCTGCTGACGGGCCCCGAGCCCTGTTCAAGTGCTCTGCGGCCGCCGCGGCTCCCGCGGCCGGGAGGCGGAGCCTAATTTCGGTTAGGTTGAACACCCTCGCGGCTGCGGCCGCTGCGGCCGGCGACGAGAATGGCACGGTTGTTTTGAAAGGAGATGCTGATCAAAATTTTGTGTGTAATGGCTTTATAATGGCTTTATTACTTCAATTACTACCTTTTTGAAGCAAGTATTCCTTAACAACATGATAAAATCAACCGAAACAAAGAGCGAAATCCGCAATGTTTTGTCTCACGCGCGCAGTTTATGTCGAAGTTTCCCTGCGGTCGCTCCCGAGCGACCGCGGGAGCCGCAGGAAGAGCTACGCATTACCCAGAATGCTGCTCTCGCCTGATTGGCCGCCAGCTAAGCTCCGCCTTTTTGGCCGCGGGAGCCGCGGCGGCCGCAGACACTTGAACAGGGCCCCGGTAGCTCTGTTTGCTATACTCTTCGTCAGGCGTGTGACACATTCATGGCAGCTGGGACCTGACCGATAAACTGTGGCAAACGGTGGCGTGCAGATTTCTACCGTGAAACCCACCAAACCCACTCTTTCTCTTGATATGCAGACATTAAAAATCCGACAAACAGTTGCGAAAAGGAAATCGAAAGTCAGGAGCAATTCAATGTATAATAGAGGTGGCAAAATGTGGACCCGGGGACCCGGTCTATGGAACCGGTCTGGACCCGGATGGGTCCAGACCGGGTCCCCCAAAATATTTGGCCGGGTCCAACCGGGTCCTATCATTTCCCTGTGCTTTGTGGTAAATATTAATATCTTTTATGCTTTGGCAAACATAGTCATAGTTGATGCAGTTTCCAGTTCATAAATCCCAATTCCACATTTCAATTTTAATATTCCTGCAGATTGGGCTACCTATTCTATAGCATACTGGTGAGTCTTGCTTCAATTTATTATCTTGTCACCTACAACAGAATAAACAAGTTCTAAGTGCTAGCAATCCAGAAAACATTTCACCAAATGTTTGTACGGATCACTTCCATTCAGTTTGCTGTACAAAACCTAGCAATATCTTGAGCTGTAGAAATCAAATACCAATAACATATGTAGGTAAGTAGGTATGACTGAAATCCATTTATAAATGGACACAAATCCAATTGAAGCAAGGCTGACCAGTGGCATTCTCACCTGCCTTTTCAATGACATTGACATACCAAAGCCACTATGCCCACCGGAAATCAGAGTTCATGTTTGATATTCAAATACATTTCATAACTCAAACTGAAACAGCTTTGAAATTATTTCTATCACGGCCAGAATACAACTCATAAAACCAACATGCCCTTGCATAAATCCATAAAGCTAAAAATGAATCCAAGGCATTCTCCAGAAACCGTAGTATTGATCAGATTTTTAGCCAACTGGTTCCGCATGGTGGCGCTAGCAGAGCGTATTATACATATAGCGCTCTACTAGCGCCATCATACGGCAGCAGCTGGCAAAAAACTGAGTCAATACCAATGCCCTTCTCCAAGGCCAATGATTCCGAGTTGATGTGAAAATGGCGCATTTGAGCGTCATATATGCTATGCCTTACGCACGCTAATCTACTGCATAAAGTTTACAATTTTGGAACACGTTCCAAAATTGGTTCGGCCCGGGAAGAAATCAGCTAAGTCTCAGAACCCTTGGTATTTATTCTATATCTATGTAGGTACTAACAACAAAATGTAGTTTGTTTTCTACGTTAATAAATTGGCACTTAAGTCATGATCGCAACCTTGCAGTACTTAATAGTTTATTGCCATTTGCCATTACGATTTTGCAGTACTTTAAACCCAACAAAATTTTGCAGTGATTTAACGCCTGTTTTGGTCTTGCATTGCTATCGTGTCGACATTTCTGGCGGACCTCACAAAGTTTTGATGTTTCTATTTTGATTTTAAATGTTTTCTCGTTGATAATATTTGTAAGGACTAATGAATTTAATTCTAAAAACGAATATCTTTTACCAAGAATATTAGAAAAGGTATGTATCAGTATGGTTATCTTGTTCCATGTTGATGTTAGGTTCTGACTCTGGTGAAGGCACTGCTCCATGGATCCCCAGTTCACATCATTTTTAGCAGCTGTAGTAAAAGTGGCTTAGGTTAGCATGAAATTCATTGGTCTACTTACTTCTTATATTCTTAAATATGACCTGAATCTGGTTCTAAAATGCAAACTGTAAAGCGAAGTGAAATGTCCATGGCATGAGTTTTTTACTTTGCAACACAAGTATGCCCAATTGGAAAGAAACTATTTTCTTCTTGCTAAACCTACAACTGTACACAATTTTCATAATGAATTTCGGGAACGGGTCCATCTGGTTCCAATGCTGACTTAGACCGGGTCTGACCGGTTCCAGAAATGTGCCAGTCAGACCGGGTCCGGGTCCGGGTCCCAAAATTTTCCAGTTTTGCCACCTCTAATGTATAACGACTTAACCCGCGCCCCACTGGGGGGGGGCTATTTATAGCCCCCCCTCCCGTTTTTCTGCAATAACTTCCAAACCGCTTGACGGATCGACGCCAAACTTTCAGTACCTTTGGCTGCATCAATTTGACACCTTGTGTCAAAATTTGAACTTCGTACCTACCATAGGTTGGCCGGAAATGACGTCAGAGTGACGTCATGTTCGGCCAATTTCGACGCAAAACATTGAACCACGGCAATCGCTCCCAAGAGCTCAGTTTTTAAGCTAGATCCAATTTCTTTACATGAGAGGACTCAGAATAGACTGCGCTATCAAACTGCCATCTCGGATTTTCAAAATTTTGAAAATTTCGAAAATTTTATATAATAAAATTTAAAATTTATATTTTTACATTTTTTCAAAAACCTTTTGACTTTTCGAAAAAAACCGGAATATATGTGATAGAAAGCATTATTATGACTAACTCTAGCAAGTTTTAGCTAAATATCTTCAAAAATGGCCAAGTTATACGGATTACTGCAAAAAATTAACACTTATTAATTTTTCAAATCAATTTTTCAGCACGAATTCGACATCGTACGCCAATATCAATAGCACCATCGTGTTCCTGAGCTCAAACTGCATCCAATAGACACCTTTTTTGTTGAAAAATTTTAACTTCAAAATTTGACCTTTTTTGACCTGAAAGTGACCCGACCTAAGCGAAATTTGACTCAAAATGACCTCGAATGACACAGACGACATCAAATTCGAAATGTTTGGCCTAAATGGACCATAAAACATGTGTCACGTGACCGACGCATGATATAATATTTTCGTGACCTGTGATGACCTGACCTTGACCTGAAAATCAGAGTACAAGTTTGGTACCCTCAGAGTATCTAGAGCATCTGTTCACGAGTGTGTGAACCAAAAATGAGCCTGATCTGACTTGTAAGACGGCGGCCAGAGCCCAAAACGTGAAGAAGCCAAAATGCTAATAATTTTTACTTTGACCTGACCTGTGACGTCATCAGTAACCTCAAGGTCAATGAAATTAGGTTTCGCTCGACAGTTTTTCCGGGGCTATCAGACACCGTTTGAATTTTGACGATCGGCCCAGTAGTTTCGGAGTTAGGAGGGGGGGGGGGCTATGAATGCCCCCCCCCCCCCCAGTAGGGCGTGTTATACGCAGACCCCAGTGGGGCGCGGGTTAATTGCGCTGCATGTTGCACCACTACCACCACACGGCAGTTTGTTGGTAGCTCAGTCCTCCGCCCGTCTGTGCCCACTGCACGTGTAGCTGACCACGTGTGCTGCACCCCCACCCGGTGCGGCAGGCGGCCCCTTTGTGCGCCCGCCGGTGTGACGGCCTCCCTCCGGCCCGGAGCAGGCCGGTCAGCTCTGGCGTCACGGCCTGTGACGACCGTCACCGCGGCGGCAGGGGAGCGTCACGGCCCGGCGCCGCGGCTGGTGAATCGGGCCACCCGGCGCCGCCAGACGGGCGGGAGCGCGGGGCAATTACCCACTGCCCACCGCCGCGGGCCCACGATACAGGCCAGTGATAGAGTCGCTGCACCAGTCACGCCGGGAGCCATCATTGCCATCAAAACCATCAACACCAGCTGCATGGTCAACCCTGGCCGTCAGCCGGCAACAGCCCGACGTTGTTTGACGAAGACCGGCTCAATTCGGTGCCGTCAAACCCGGCGGGGTCAATTAGTCGGCGACAGCGTTGTCAGATTTCTGAATAAGATTTCAATACTCCGATCATCTCATGACTGATGACATGTTGTGAACCGAGACGCATGTAAGCCACCGCGAGGAAAAATAGGCCACACCACGGGAAGGAAACGTTCTAAGCACTGTATACCACACGCAACTCAAGTTGGGCGCCAGTAGTTCGGTCCAGGTCTCTCTTACACCCCGAGGGCAGGACTGGGAACAGAGCCGGGCGCGGGACCCTCAGGGATCGCTCGGCCGGGGGCGTCGGGCGCGGCCAGTAGGACAGTCAGCCGGCCGGCCGGCGCCCCCCACACAGCCCATGTCACACCGCTGATGGAGTGACTACCGACTCAGCCGCCGCCGCCGCCGCCCCGGGCGCGGCCAGCAGGACAGACAGCCGGCCGGCCGGCGCCTCACACACAGCCCATGTCACACCGCTGATGGAGTGACTACCGACTCAGCCGCCGCCGCCGCCGCCCCGGGCGCGCTCATTACTGTTCATTAATAAAGCCTAATTAATGTCCTCCTCGTCTGCCTATTGTTGGGCAGTTGCGGAATTTAGTATCGGCCTTCTGTTCTCTGTAATTACGGTGACGATAAACAGCGAACGATGGAGAGAGAGCAGGGGCTCCGATAAACTCGTATATCGCCTCCTGTAACAAATGTAATAAATAAATAAACAATTTCTTCTTCTGTGATAGTCTGTTTGGGGGACCTCTTGTTCGAGCCGTATAACCAACACGGTTTTTCTTTTCTTGAAGTATGTATTGCAAATTTGACGACAGAATCCAAAAGTAATAAACAGTCGGCCGAGACTTTGAATAACGATACGTCAGGCCGCTACGGCGGTTGGCTTTCGACTCAATCCTTTCACAGCTCCTGCTCGGCGTTCGGCGTCGGCCGCGATATTCAAACGTCATACACACACGTCATACATATAGATGTACGTCATATCATAGCACCAATCAGAAGCGGGCGAGGACAGGCGTCACAGGTGAGGAGTGAGGACCATATAAGGGTATTGTAAGTGGGCGAGGGGGCTGGGCAGTAAGTAGGTACAGAGGGAGGTGGAGGACGGGGTAGGAACGAATTTCGTTACACCTCCGAGAGGACCGTTCCATCCTCGCCCGATCCACGCCGGCCCTCACCCATTCGACCGGTCGTAACCCACTCCAAAGCACCTTCCCAACTCCTTGAAACACCCTCCCCGTGCTGAAGGAGCCCCGTCGCTGAGCGGCAGGGGGACGCCGCTAAGGTCATCCATCAAGACGGCAGCCAGGGGGGTATCGGATCGGCCGGGCCGGGACGAGGGGCCGACTGACGTCTTTTTGTTGGCGGTCGGGCCGGCGCGGTCGGCCCCAGTGAAAGCAGGGCCGGACGGGTCGGGGTGACTTGGTACAGTTGACGTCATGTAGAGTGGTTCACCTCGTCAATCAGAGCCGCGAGTGGAGAAGCGCCGACTTGGAGTGCTCGGACACCGGCGGAGTTTGTGAGGGATTTTGGATCTGAATCTGAAGGAAGGAGAATGAATGTCCGGCGCCTTATTGGTTGTGGAGGGTTCGGAGCATGCTACGGCATTTGTTGGAATGGAGTCAGGAATAAATAGCATTATTAGCTAAAGTGTGAGTGCAAAAAGAAGACCAAAAGAGACAATACATGGCGACGTCATTTCGAAAATTTTCTTGACCTGAACTTCGAAACAGCAACAGCACAACACAAGCAAGAGCCACGTTTGGCCATCGATTCTACTCACTCGTGGCAGGACGTTGAAGACGAAGCTTCTAGGGTACCCTCGTCTGAAAGGTAGTGGACGGCTCTCCTCGTTCAGCCGGCACCTCGGCCCAGAGACGGCGGTCTGAGGAAACGTCCTCACCCGAGCACCGTGACCACTGGAAGCGCTCGTCGCCGACGCCAGTCCCACTATCTCCTCCAGTTCCGGACCCGCGGACAGTAGAGGCGATGGCACAGCGCGTTAGGCGGCAAAATCGCCCCTAGGCGCAACTCCGCAACAAGAGGACAATGACGCACGAGTCGGTCGCTGCGCGGGGACCACATCCTGGGCGGCTATCTGCAGCGGAGGGGCTGAAAACATGTCAGCCCGGACGGACGGCGCCTCGGCCCCGCACCAGTGTCTCCCGGGCAGACACACTGAACAAAAAAAATTGAGCACCGTTAACTGGGTAAGTGGTTATTCTGCATACCGGAGTTTTTATATACCCAATAATGGGTGTTCAGGGAGCGTTTGACACCTTTAACCGTGTATGACAGGCTTCATGACACTGTAATAAGTGTCATAGTACAAATTTAACCCGCGCCCCACTGGGGGGGGGCTATTTATAGCCCCCCTCCCGTTTTTCTGCAATAACTTCCAAACCGCTTGACGGATCGACGCCAAACTTTCAGTACCTTCGGCTGCATCAATTTGACACCTTGTGTCAAAAATTGAACTTCGTAGCTACCATAGGTCGGCCGGAAATGACGTCAGAGTGACGTCATGTTCGTCCGATTTCGACGCAAAACATTGAACCACGGCAATCGCTCCCAAGAGCTCAGTTTTTAAGCTAGATCCAATTTCTTTGCATGACAGGACTCAAAATTGACCGCGCTATCAAACTGCTATCTCGGATTTTCAAAATTTTGAAAGTTTCGAAAATCTTATATAATAATATTCAAAATTTATATTTTTACATTTTTTTCAAAAAGTTTTTGACTTTTCGAAAAAACCGGAATGTATGTGACAGAACGCATTATTATGACTAACTCTAGCAAGTTTTAGCTAAATATCTTCAAAAATGGCCAAGTTATACGCATTATTGCAAAAAATTCACAATTATTAATTTTTCAAATCAATTTTTCAGTACGTATTTGACATCGTACACCAATATAAATGGCACCATCGTGTTCCTGAGCTCAAACTGCATCCAATAGACACCTTTTTGTTGAAAAATTTTAACTTCAAAATTTGACCTTTTTTGACCTGAAAGTGACCTAACCTAGGTTAAATTCGACTCAAAATGACCTCGAATGACACAGACGACATCAAATTCGAAATCTATGGCCTAAATGGACCATAAAACATGTGTCACGTGACCGACGCATGATATAATATTTTCGTGACCTGTGATGACCTGACCCTGACCTGAAAATCAAAGTACAAGTTTGGTACCCTCAAGGTATCTAGAGCATCTGTTCACGAGTGTGGAAACCAAAAATGAGCCTGATCTGACTTGTAAGACGGCGGCCAGAGCCCAAAATGTGAACAAGCCAAAGTGCTAATAATTTTTACTTTGACCTGACCTGTGACGTCATCGATGACCTCGAGGTCAATGTAATTAGGTTTCGCTCGACAGTTTTTTCCGGGGCTATCAGACGCCGTTTGAATTTTGACGATCGGCCCAGTAGTTTCGGAGTTAGGAGGGGGGCTATGAATAGCCCCCCCCCCCCAGTAGGGCGTGTTATACACAGACCCCAGTGGGGCGCGGGTTAAAAGTGTCTGACACTCATCATACACTGCAAAAACACCCCACCCCGTTTTTAAATTTTCTCAGAGCAATATACGATAATACTAAACAATGTTTCATGGCTGCGACAACTGAGCTACATGCAAAACAGCTGACCCAAATCATAGCCACATGAGACTCAAGAAAGGCACGAAAACTCGCCAATTAGGACCTCAAATGCTTTCATTTTGACCGCCTATATCACAGAACGGATCCTACACACAGGACGGCCGGAACAGCCAAATGTGGTGAGGGAAACGACTAAGGAAACCGCCGTCTCCGGGATGCACTCAGATAGATCTCTAACGATTTGAACGAAATCGTTCCTTTCAAAGACTGAGTCATGCTTTGAAGTTACACTGAAAAAATAATAATGCCTGTGGGGAATTTTTGGGGTATCGGACACCGTTATGACACCCGTGAGGTTGTACGTTCTGCTAACATATATCTCACATCTTTATATAACTCCTACTAAGCATTCTTAGGGTGTATTTGGAGTGTCAGATACCCCAAAAACACCCATGCAAAGTGTCAACTTCATTATTAAAGGGAGTTTGTGAGGTGTACAAAACTAAGCCAACACCTTTAAGAGTGTCAGTTTGATATTTGACACCTACATAATGCCAGAATTAGTCCCCACAATAATTTTACAGGTATCTGGAAGGTGTAGAAAAATCCCATTTACAGATTTCAACAGTGTTTTACGGGTGATGAACACCGTTCATATTACCATCGTACTCCCTTGACGACTTTTTTAGGAATATCCCTCGCCCTGGCAGGGCATTTTTCATAACACGGCCTGGCAGCAGGGGGGGGGGGGGTCGATGCGACCCCCCCTCGCGATTGGCTCCTATGGCATCTAGAAACACCAAATTTGGTAGGTAGGTGGGCCCCCTAGAGTTCTCGCCCCTGTGCAAATTTGGTTGCTCTAGGTCAATATTTAGGGGGTTTTGGGGGGGTATAAATGTCAAAATTTCGCTAAAAACTGGTCAAAAGTTTTTCGCCTATAACTTTTGATCTAATTAAGATAGAGCAAAAAAAAGCACCAGTGAACTCAGCACGTCAAGGCGCGTCAATTGATGTACTTTTAAGCTTGCTTATTTGTACTTAAAGTTTTTCTTAATTTTTAAGTAAACTTTAATTAATCAATTAAGTTAAAGTTAACCAAATTGCATCATATCGCATATCATTCGATTTGGCTGATCAGCAGGAACACAATGATAACATTTTTTAAGCTCTAGCGTCATTATGTGCCAAGTTATTGGCAAAAACGTCATTTGACCTCAGTTAACCTCATTTGACCTGACCCATGGATAAGTATATCAAACAAAGAAGCACCAAGTGACCTGCTGTTAAGTACTGTGGTTTAAAGCACAAAAGTGATAGAACGAAGCGGATATCTCCAGTATTTTCCGAATTTAGTATTTTCCCATAGGCTTAACATTACGACGTAATGACCTCTAACTGACCTCAGGTCAGTGACCTATAAAAACCCGAACTATATGCTATACAACTCGGTAAACTTAGCACATCCTGAAAGTTTGAAGGAAATCAGTCAAAAACTGTGAGTTGGACAGCTGCTAAAAGAAAATTGAAATTTGACCATAACCTTGTACCGGTCTTTCTGACCTGGTGACCTGACCCAAGGTCACCCGGACCTGAAATTTTCAGGTCATATGTAAAGAGGCTGCCCCATAGGCTGTGCTAAATTTGGCGGCGCTGCGCGCCGCCGTTTTTACGCTATTTTCGAAAAACCTTAGGGGGTCGCATCGACCCCCCTGCGAGGGCGAGGGATATGCTAGGTGTAAATCGCTTGATAACACCCATGAAGGGTGTCAAAAGATAATGGTAAAACACTTGTTGTGAACATCTGCAGTGTCAGACACCCCTGAAACACCTCAAATAGTGTACGTTCTGCTGATACCGACACCTTAAGATTTCCCCAGGATAATGTATCGAGGATATTGGGTACCAAACTGCTCGCCTGGTCAAGGCGCGTCGTTTGGTATGCAGCATGACCATACCCCACAACCTCATTGAATAATGACCTGACCTTGACCTCAGGTCAAATTTTAAATTGACCTGTGAAGGTCATCACATACTTATTTCGCATCGCCTCGTCGAGAGCAACAAAAAATGTATTGGTTTTATGTCCCTATGTTTCTTAGTTTAAAAGTTATATAGGTAACTAATTCCAAAACATTTTATCGTTGATGACCTCTGGTCAGGGCTGCGGAGTCGATGGATTTTCGGCGACTCCGACTCCGACTCCGACTCCGCCTTTCAAAAACCAGCTCCGACTCCGACTCCGACTCCGGGCAGAATTGTCGACTCCGACCGACTCCAACTCCCGACTCCGACTCCGCAGACCTAGCAGGGCTGCGGAGTCGACAGATTTTCGGTGACTCCGACTCCGACTCCGGCTCGGGTTTCTAAAATCGACTCCGACTCCGACTCCGACTCTGGTCACAACTGTCGACTCCGACCGACTCCGACTCCGACTCCGACTCCGACTCCGCAGCCCTGCTCTGGTGACCTCAATATTGACCTGACCTGAAAATGTTTTATGTAAAAGTTGTAGATCTTTAAACGACCTATCAAACGCCGTTTGCCGTTTGTCGCTGCGATGTGTAGTTTTTAAGATCTGAAGGGGGGGCCGAATCGGCCACCCCCCGCCAGTTTCTTGTCCCGGCGGAGCCCGCCAGGAATAGGGTTAAAAGCACTTAACACGCGCACCGACGGGGGGGGGGGCGGATATCCGCCCCCCCTGAGGTTTTTCGCGAATAGCGGGACCATCTCGTCTACGACATGTCATATCCCGGCCCCACCCCGTGCCGTGCGGCCACCACACCACCGAACGCCACTGACCAGCCCTAAGGTGTCGGCGGGTGTGCCTCTTTTCTACGGCCATTTTCCAGCGGCCGGCCGGAGCCAGTCGCGGGAGGCGCTGCTGATTGGTCCGTGCGTAACGCGAGAGCCGCAGAGGCGTCTGCTGATTGGTCTGTGCGTGGCGCGCGTGCCGCAGAGGCGACTGCTGATTGGTCTGTGCGTGGCGCGAGAGCCGCAGTGGCGTCTGCTGGTTGGCTTCGGCTGCGCCGTCTTCTGGCCGCCTTCGCCGCGTCCCCCTCACCGCCCCCTCCGGCCGAGACGGGTCCGTCTGGCGAGACGTTCCGAGCGGTGTGTCCATGTGGAGTGAATGCACTGCTAGCCAATGCAGCTGTTTGGTGCCCGGCTGCCGGAATAGAGTGTCGGAGCGGCGGCAGGGGAGTGACGGCAGCTGTTTGTGGTGGATTCTGACGGAGCTGACCACCGGCACAAAAAGACTGCAGCGGCACCAGCCACGGGGAGGGGGCTGCAGCTGGGAGTGTCACCGGACCGCTCTCCGTGC